CCCTTCCAACCCTGATATTCTATGATATATAGGACCTTACCATATTCACGGCCATGAAAAATGTGTCACGGACTGTGAAATTGAGCTTCCCCCATGAAATCTGGTCTTTTGTGTGCTTTTATCCTATACTGTACAGATTTCATGGGGGAGACCAGCATTTCTGAAATTGGGGGTCCTGTCCCAAAAGGGAGTTGTAGGGGGGGGGTTGCAAGTTTATTTTGCGCTGCCTTCAGAGCTGGGTGGCCAGAGAGTGGTGGCTGTTGGCCAGGCACCCAGCTCTGAAGGCAGCGCCATGCCAGCAGCAGCAGCACAGAAGTAAGGGTGGCAATACCATACCATGCCACCCTTGCCTCTGCGCTGCTGCTTTCAGAGCTGGGCAGCTGGAGAGTAGCAATTGCTGACTGAGGGCCCAGCTCTGCAGGCAGCAGCGCAGAAGTAAAGGTGGCAATACCATACCATGCCATCCTTACTTCTGCGCTGCTGCTGGTGGCTCTGCCTTTAGAGCTGGACTTCCGGTCAGCAGCCACTGCTCTCCAGTTGCTCAGCTCTGAAGCCATGCCGCTGCCAGTAGCAGCGCAGCAGTAAGGGTAGCAGTACCTTAACCCCCCCTCCTTTTTGGGTCAGGATCCCTATAATTACAACTGTGTGAAATTTCAGATTTAAATATCTGAAATCATTAACATTACGATTTTTAAAATCCTATGACCATGAAATTGACCAAAATTGACCTTGAATTTGGTAGGGCCCTACTTATATATACATATGCTATCTCTGATCTTTCTGTTTTTCATCTGTTTTCCTATTTGCTTTCTGCTCCCTAGCCTACCTCCAGTCATCATGCAGTTTCATACTGCTCGGGGTGCATGTTTGAGAAAATGTGGTGGTGGTTTTTTTAAGGTCTGTAGCTGGAAACCTGGTAAGAGAGGGTTGGGAAAGTTCTTTAAATGCTGGTCCCTATGGTTATAGTTATTTGCACAGATTTACCTTCTGTCTCTACCTTCAGCTACAGCCATGGGAGGAGAAGGAAAAGAACTACAAATGTTGCCTGTATCCTTTGACTGTCCAGAGCCAGCTGTCTGCCCCCCTTGGTGTTGCCTTTATAAATATTATTGCATTAGCCGTATATCCTGGCTGTCCAGATTCAAGTCCCTCTTGCAGACCTTAAATAGCCATCGTCATATTTCTCATTCTGTAAGAACTTCTATTGTTTAAATTGGGGGTTGAAGGATGGGCAGCCTGACCACTTTAGTCAAGGAT